CCAGATGCCAATGTCTTTTGAATGAGCTGAGAGAATTTGGCTCATTGCCCAGTGCAAAGTACATGACCTGCTTGGCATCATGAACTTTGTGTTGGCACAGCACATAAGGAATTATGCCTTCACTCCCCTCAATCAGCCCTGGACACATAATTTTGTCAGTGTTCTGTATGACACTGTTCCTGAAGCACATCGCAAGACACTGTTGCACAATGGCATGCTGATGCTCCACTTTCACACTGTCAACACTGCTGATGAGTGTTTGACGGATGCCTGGGTCAAGCAACAACTGCAGATCCTGAAGTGAGCGTCCTCTCCCCACATGCAAGCACAGTATGCTGTACATGAAGGCCAGATCCATCATTGCGATGCACTCAATCTCAAACACTTGAAGAATGCAAACTGACCCAGCAAGTGTCAACACAAACATGCTAAGAAGCACAAAGAGGAGACAGCTATGTCTGTGGACCCACTGACTGCCTCTACTAGCAACTCTGTTGCTGCTACAGGCAACATCATTGACTGGGATGGTGCCAGTCGGGTACATCGTGGCCTCTGAGATCAATTTGGTGCTCTGGGACCTAGCCAGGCCTTTCCCACCCTGTGGTCATCCAGAGCAGATGCCAACAAGCAAGATGCCGCAAAATGGTGGCACTATCCTGGGTACTACCCTGGAGCTGCCGCTTTGTCCATTCCCATCAAGCTGGGTGGTGGGACAATGTCAGAGTCTATGGTGGCAAGACCAGTGCCTGCAACTCCCAAGAAGGCACCAAAGCTGCTTGCCAATTCCTTCTGGACCAAGAACATAGCTCAGCCCTTCCACAATCATGTTCTCAGCCATGTGCATGGAGAACCTGCTCTTCCCCCACCCCCCATGCCTCATGTGTGTGCAAGAGAGAGACTAATAGGCGCACTGCTGCCCCTTGCTCCTCCTCCAGCATCCTGTGCTCCCCCCCAGCCCATTAAAGCCACCAATAAGGAACATGCCTTGCGTCCGGAGGTTCAAGTGTCAATGCCATCAGGATCCAGCTCCTGCTCACCTCCTCCACTGAAGGAGAGCATTCCCCAATTGTTTGTGGACAGTGGTGGGGAAAGAAGCATTCTGCCCATCTCCGAGGATGTCCAACAGCCCCCCCGTGGCATGGAGATGGTGGCTGCGCAGTTATCTCTCTCAAGTGTGGCAGCTGCAGTGGTGCTGCCAAAGCAGACTATCTCATTGAAGCAGTGGTCAGCTGAGCAAAAGGCCAGAAGGCAAGCAAACCATCTGAAGAAAGAGCAAGAGCTTGAGGATTGTGATATTCTCCCCCACAAGTAATGTAACCAGCCGATATATATGTATCATTCTCTGCATTGCCCTGTGGACTGATACATATGATATGTAGTACTATCCCATCCCTCAATGCATCCCTGCCCCACTTCCCCCGCCCCTCACCCCAAATCCTACCTGCTTCCCCATGCAATTGAGCTCAAAGGCCTTACTCTGTTTCTGCAAAAGGTGGCTTGCAATCTATGATACACCAGTGACCTCAGTTATCCTGTACACAACCCACCACAGCTTTGATGGCTGAGACATCAAGCACTTGCATCACCATCAACCTTGTGAATGCCAGAGCTGTGCCATATGGTGGGGCTTCAGTATCTGCCTTGCAGAACTTTATGAATGCAAGCTCAAGAAGGACACTTCGAATTGGCAAATCAATCAGATGCTGAAGTTGGCCATACAGGATGAATGGTGATGGATGCTTGGGTAATTTATACTCAAACTAGACAGGTCAGTCATATGTCACTCTATTCTACAAAATGGTACTCACCTGTACATAGGTCATGTCTCTGCTATGGCATGTGCACAGTCCCTGAGCAGCATGCACAGTATCTCCCTTGCAAGAGAGTTGCAACTTGCCCCATTGTGTGACACATTTTGGAAGCACATCCTTTGCCTCTGTTTTTCTGACATGAAGCACAGCAGAGAGGTATGTGACCAGCTTCTCTTCCAGGGCCTTGCTGAGTTCCAGCTCAGACTTCAGTGCCATTGTATGATGCAATTCATCTACCTCCCTCCTAGGATCATATTCGATCCCATGCAGCTTGTACTTCAGCTTCAGTATCCCACTGGCACAGTTGGAGGATGTGTCAGTCAATTCCAGGGTAAGGATTCAAACATCCTGTCACTGCACATTGTAGCTGACTGCAAAATCGCTCCATAGGAAATGCCCATGTTGTCCAAAGTGGACCAGTCCATTCCATGCAATCTGCTAAGTGCAGCAGTGAATGAACTGTGACTGGGCACAGGCCAACATGATCTGTACTGCCCTGGTAGTACAGTTGCTTGTATTGAAGAACCCACTTGACCAAACACTTGCGGAGCATAGTCATGAAGCCAGCGTGATGGGAAAAACTGAGGCAGTCATTGATGAAACAAGACAATTCGACCAAGTGGTGGTAATATGCTTCATTGGTGAACTGCCGCAAGAGGACAACAGGTGCCAATTGGGTAATCCGTAGCATATACGCTTCTGCCATGAACTCATGCCGTTTGTTGAGAAGATGTAGGACATGTTGGCCAAAGGCACCAGGAATGGTGTTCCCACTTTTGGCAACTCGCTTGGCAACATCAGTCTGAATTGCATGCAGTAAGGTGAATGCATCCCCCTCAACACAGTGTTTGCTCACACCAAGCCAAAGATCAAGGAGGAGGGGTACAACATTCTCAAAAACAAGGTGCATGAAGTCAAGAGGGAATGAGGTTGGCCAGATGATGCTCCTGAAGTGTCACCAGATGCTGATTCCATTGATTCCAGATGCCTTTGCATGATGCTCTGCTTCAGCATGGCTCTCAGCCTGCATGACTGATTCAGCCTTGTGGAGAATTGAGTTGTGCAAGCAAAGAGGGAGATTCAGTGGATCATACTGGGCTGGAGCTGTAGATGAAGAGGAACAAAAGGATTGTCAGTCGAGAGGTATGCCTTTGTGCCCATTTGCACAGACTGAACTGATATTGCAAAATCTGCATGGCTGGTTTCCAGCATGTCCCTTCATATGCATCAGTTTGGCAACTGCTGGCATATCCCCAAAGAGCATGATCAGGTGTGCTCACAAGGTAAAGAACTCATGCTTCGAGGCATCATAGGTCCTCATGCCTTTGGCCAGGAGAACAAGCTCTTCTGCCAAGGGGAAGTAGAATGAATCAAGATCTTTGACCATTTTGGGTCCTGGGATGCAACCAATTCAAAGCAAGCTCTTTATGTGTGTCCTGTCTTGCAGTGGCAGGTTGTAGTTGATCAAGATTGTTGGCCATGCAGTTGTTCTTGGGCCTTTGAAAGGGGCAAAACCATCAGTTGACAAACCTAAGGCTATGTCTTGTGGTGTGTCAAAATATTTCATCTTCAAGGTCTTCCTGTTGACAGAAATATAGCATTTGCACAGTTCACAATATGTCCTTCCCTGGAAGATGTCTGTCCTCTTGAGTGAGTGGGGATTTTGCTGGGCTCAATATGAAGAAAGGGTAGTTACTCTTTCCACATTAGCATATTGAGCTTGAAGCTGAGGAATGATTGGTAGATAATGATATGGCTGTGCAGGCTTGCCATTTGTCTTGAACCTTGGTTCACTGCAGTGTGGACAACACCTGAGTTTGGTGAGGGCACCTATGTATGCCACACAGGAATTGATGCAGCAATCATAAGTGATGGGCTTCATTCCAGAGATGTGTTGAACATGTCATTCAATATAGGGGAGATCATAAAAGATGTCAGGATAGGTGAAGTTGAGGGTGTTGTACTGTGCATTTGTGAAGTGTCTGTTTATCTTTGCATAGAATGTGGTGAATATCTTCTCATCCTCTGCCAACAGGTTATCTGGATTGTGTGAGCAGCACCCAAGCTGTTCAGAACAGATTACATACCAGGTATCATTCTTGACTTGAGATCAATCTCCTCATCCAACTTCTCAATGCCAGAGGTCTCCCCCTCCCCCTCACCATCATGCATCTGCCATTCTCCCTCCTCCTCCTCCTCCTCCTCCTC